AGACAAGTGGCTTCAGGAAATATGCACTTGAAGGAAGCACGCTTAAACAAAATAGAGTAATTCCCTTAAACAAACTTAGATAAATCACCATTATAAAATCATTAGCAAGGTAATGAGCTGTTCATGTCATTAAGCAGTGGCACGAGCTGAGCAAAGAATGTGAGTATTGCTTTACTAGTGGGACACATTAATTAATTCATGATAGAGTGACAAATCAAAGCTTAAAAAAAAAACCAAAACCCTTTGCAGAGCTGACAAACCCAGGCCTCCCGACACAGGGTGTACTTGCAGAAAGGGTAGCCATTTTAGCTCTACCGGTCTCTTTAGCCTCAGACGTTAAGGAATAATCATACTTGAACTGTATGTAAATCTTGCTGGCTGAAGAGCAGTTTGTCTAAACCAGACAATTTTTGTGGAATCAGGCATGGTGTGGTCCGAAAGAGGACTACCTGATCTGAACTAACTCGTTCGGGGATCTGATGATAGGGCGGACCCAAAGCATATTAGTGTGTCTTTGGTAGATTTCGGTGCAAACACCTTACGCCTATGAACTGTGAGTCTGGCGAGGACCAAGGAAGCGTGTGTCTTCTGGGTCCGCAGTGCCCGTGTGGCTGATGTCAGTGCTGCAGGAATCGAGCTGCCCAGTTGTGTCACTGTAGCAATTACTTCTCCAAATTTTTTTATGTACACTATGCATGTGAGGATATTATCTTACTGTTTCTTTTTTCTTTTTTTTTTTCCTCTTGGGTTTTAGGTTTCATAGACCGTAGCAGTTCAATTCTACCTGACTACTATGCCGTCTTTAAAACATAACTAAAAGGAACCATAAGTGCTGGTATTATTCACTTCCCTGTTACGTACAATGTAAATCTTCCGAACTGCCTTTTTTTAAAAAAAAAAAAGTAGAAAAATAAATATAAAAAAAAGGAAAATTGTATTTACATGTGATGGGTACTGCAGCATCATCAGACCTGCTGGTTCAAGCTTCAATAACAGAAAATACCCCTGGTGGGCATCGTGCCAAGACTTGGCATCTATGTATACGACTTTCCTGGCATGTGGATTTGCCATACCTGTTCAAGCCCAGCCGGTGGTGCACCCATTTCATCTTCAGGCACCCTTCCTTCATCCTGACAAGCCTCTGTCATCAACTCTAGAGAGCCCCGAGATGGCGTTCAGGGAATCACTGGCCTGGGTGAAGCCTCCGGAAGACCGGCACCTATGGCACTACAGCACTCACACCAAACACTCCTTTCAGGCTGCGAGCACCTTATGAGGATGGTGAAGGAGCAAAACTCCTCTACGGGCCAGCCCATCTGTCAATATCATCTGACTAGAAAGGCATTTCTTTCCCTGGAGAAGTTTATGGCCAGTCGATAGGCATTACTTGGCTCCCAAGCAGAAAAAGGCATCACCTGTAAAGAACAGGACTCCCTACTGAAAGCTGGTTCAGTTCTAGCAACGGTTTATTTTTCATCTCTTTCGAGTATAATTTTCTAAACCCAGTTGTGAACCCATCAGCAGTAAGCGACAAGAATGTTGAGGACAAGCAAGCAAAACCCATCTCTTCACGGTCACTGCATGGTGTTCGCTCAGCTTGTAGTTTGTTTTTACACCCGAGCCTCACGATTGTGTGAGAGCCGACGCGTGCCCGGCAGTGAGAAAGGCTGGGATTCCCACCCATTCTGCGAAGGAACACACAACGGGAGGAACTGGGGGGTCAGTGAGGGATTTCTATCCTCTCTCTATCAGGTGTTTCAAGAGCTGATCCTAAACTCATACTGAGAAAGGCGTGAGAGCATGTGTTACCTGGCCTAACAAAAGGAGTCTGGTGCATTGGTATAGATGGTGAGACTTGTCACCAGTACCCCCAGCTGAGGCGTAAGGACAGCAATCCAGGGGTGTTCTATTTTGGTTTTAATTTATTTTTATTATAGTGGTTTAACACACAAACTGACCAAGTAGAGCTCGGAGAGCTGGTCACTCTGGGCCTGGTTCACCTGCCAACGTAAGTGTGTGCTTAACACCAAGTAAGCATGCAAACAGCCTCACGGCATTCAAGAACACGTCTGACAAGCTTAGTTGAAGCTGAACACATGTAAGTGCTTTTCTGAACTTTGGCCAGCACCTCCCAGAATCACGTCCTTAACTAGTATGACGCCAGCAAGCTGGGGCAAACATTATCTAGGATTCCTTTCCAGCTCTAACAAGAAACTATTATGCCATGTTTTGGGCCGCTGGCCCAAAGCACTGTAGCAACATTACTGTATGAAGTTCCAGATTATTACTTCAGGACACCTTTTTTCTTCCACAATAGCTATTTTGCTTCGACAGTTTGAACAGAGAGGCCAAAGTTTTTTACTACAGTGTTGTTATTTCTGTTATTATTTTATTATTTTTCCCTTTCTCGCTGTCTTCCATGTATCTATCTGCTCTCCTGTGCTCCCCCTCTACCTCCCCCGATGCCATGCTAACATTGCCCTTTACTGATTGCGGGCTGAGGAGCCTCTTGCACTTGAGCATTTAATGGCCAATGCTGCGTAGTGCCAACACTCCTGCCTCTTCTCAGGCCTCCGTCTCATTCTTCTGGTCGCAGGAGTAAAGCGAAAGGACCACGGGGTTGTTCTAGCATCCAGCCTGCCAAACGACACTGGCAGTGAGGCTAACGCACTCCATTTACGCTTAGCGGTGGTACTCAATACCTCACAGATTTTCTCTCCCATCAGAGACAAGCGAAAGTGTTTCATTCTCATCTGCGGCCATCCTTGCAATGCTAAGGATTATTAACTATTCAATAAGAATTGGCTGCTGTAGGATGGAAGATGCTACGAAGGAAAGTAAAAACCAGCTGGTTTCTGGTGCCTCGTTTTTGAGGCAGCATGCCTCTGATGTGGTAACGCTTCCCAGACCAGGTAATGATTTCCGAAGAAACACACACAGTGATCCCTGTATCGCCAGCTCACAGTTGCTTTAGATACAAGTTCATCAGTAGTGGAAGTCTTTAATGTGCAATGTTATCAGCTCAGTGCAGCAAAGACAGAGCACTTACGTACTAACCAGGAATACGCTGCTTTGGGGTTATTTTCATGAAAACCTGGGGTTTGTGTTTTTAAATTCATTCACATACACACGCACGTGTAACAAGACTGCATCACAGCTTTAAAAAGGGAAAACAAAACTCCAGGCTTTTGACTACACACACATTGCGTTAGGAAAGGGCTCTTCTGTTTTGAAGAGCAACAAGCCCTCATGTTCCCACTGTGGATCCCACACCTGCCCCGCTATCGTTAGCTTAGAGGTTCAGTGTGAAAGGGAAGGAGGCCATTTAAGGAGCAGGGGCGACAGAAATCACAGGATGCAGTAGGCTGGTGGGAGGAAAAGGTGAGATTTTTTTTTTTTTTTTTTTCCATTTTATGATTAAAATGAATAGGAAAGAGGTGGGAGTAGCAGACTGCTGCTGTCAGTCTGTTGTCAGTGCCAGAGGCTCCAGGGGAACAGGCAGTCTGTGGGCAACGTCACTCTGGGTACTGCCACCGTCCCTCGTGGGCATGGACCCCAGCAGTGCACACACCTGCCAGTCTGATGCCCTAAATAACCCCTGGGGCACTGGTTGAGGCGCGTAACAGCCGAGTCCTGGGTGAAGGCCAGACCTTCCCCAGCCACCCTGCCTTCGCCTGGATGGGCCCAAGGCAGGTCCCTGCTGACCGCTTAGCAAGTTGTTGCGCTCTGCCTGCCTCAGGATTCATCCTGTCCCCAGGGCAGCTACACATGGCAATGCTTTTTTTTTTTTAATGATGTTAACTCCTGGCTGAGCAGACACAAGGACACAGTGGAAGAACTGCCATATTTCTCCCGAATTGCAAGTAGAGCTTATTACTGAAAAGGGAGAAGGAGGAGGAGAAAAAAGCCATATAAAGTGTTTGGCACTGTACTAAGCATCGCAGAACTGGCACTTCATCTGGTTTTAGCTTTGGTGGGTCTGGGTATTTTGCAAAGTTACCCTTTGGCGAGACATTCTTCAACAACCTTTCAGTGCCTGAACACTGCAGCGCGTCCTCAGTTTGCCACCTCTGGCATCCATGGGAAGTTTCAAGCAGACTGGGCAACAGCTAGTCCGTTTCTTAAAATCTGTTTTCTTCTAATCTGCGAAAGCCACCTCTACCACAGTAAAGTAGTTGTGATTCTGCTGGGGATGAAAGAAAATAACAACAGTCATGATTTCGCCCCCCTTCAACCTGGATTACGTGCAGGACA